AAACAACAGCAACTGGAAAATCCCACACACACAGATGCTTCGCCTCAAATTGCAATTCCCCTTGCCATTTCTTCTTTTTTTCTGGTTACACGCAGCAGCTACTCTCTCTTCCTCTTTCTGTGTCTCTTTCTCTGTCTAAAGTGGCCAGTTTCGGATTTATTCCACTGATACACAGAGAAAAAATGGTCTTCTAAGTTAACAAAATAGTTTAAGCTTAAGATCTTAAAGTAAAAGAAATAAAAATAAAAAAATAAAGAAAAAGAACTTAAGTGCCGTCTGCAAGACAAGGCTGAATTCCTAAAATTGAAAACCTTACCTTCTATTTATAGTTAAATAAATGATCTTAATTAAATTTCTTCGGTGCACACCTTTACTAACCCCTTAAATCGCCACCCCCTAGCCTGCAAATCAGAACAAGTTGCAAGTCGCCGCTGCATCGCTAACAAAGCCACTCGACAACTGCAAAAATGTGGCCACGCAAAGTGTTGATGATGCAGGGGGGTTTTTTTTTTTTCCAAAGGAGGTTTTCTGTTTTTATTGGGAGGGAGGTTCTGCGGAAAGAGGGGGCGACAAAGGGGGGTGATGATGCTGCTGCCGAAGAGAGAGCGGCAGATTGGCTAACTGGCAATTTGAAGACTTGGGCAAGGCGACCGGTTGCAGAACTGCTTCTGATGCTGGATGCCGAATGTCGAATGCTGGCTTCTCGCATGACAAGTGGCCCGCAACTAAATCGTTGCAACAGCAACAAGTACACTAAAAGAAAATGGAACCTACAAGATATCAAAATTTAAAATACATTTATTTAACTTTTTCAAGGTATAAATATTATTGTTATAGATAATATAACTTTCCCTAACTAAATATACCAAATTTGAAATCTACTTTTCATCAAAGAAATAAGTACTTTGATCTCATTTTTGCTGTAGTGTAGGATAGCAGCAGCTGTAAAACGAGCTTTGGTAGAAAGACGCAGGCCAAGACCCGGCTTCCTTTTGCTCAGTTTTCCTGCACGGGTTTTTCTTTATTTTTCCCCCTCCGGTTCTTTTGTGCATTTCAATTTATTGCCCCAGAACAACAACTCGAGAGTTTCGTGTTAGCAATATACACCCACCCATCGAAAAAAAAATCTGCTCCCCATTCCAAAAAACAAACTTGCCTTCATTCTGAAGCGAAATTGTTTTGGTTAAAAATAACATTTGATGTTGGCAATTGAAATTATGCGTATGCCTGCTGCAAAAATATTTCGCATGCAGCGCCATCTGTTGTCGGACTGACCTGAATCCAGCTTTACAAAATATTTTTATAGAGTGTTCTCTTTAGTTCTTATGATGTGCATGTTAATAAGGCTAACGTTTGTTGCATCATTCCTAGAAATATCTAGGTTTACATATCATATATGAATTATTAAAGAAAAGTATTCCTAATTTCGTGATGATTTTGAATTTCTTCAATATATTTAATCAGAAATATCAAAGAATTCCTAACACTTCTGAGAATTTCTTAAACATTTTTCATCCTAAGTTCAATAAGTATTTTAGCCTCTCAATTCAATAGAATCTCCACCCCAATTTTCATTTGAACTTTCACTACATTCATGCACAATTAATGAGCTACAAAATGCATGCAGCTCAAAGGAAGTAAACAATACAGCTGAGGAAAGACATGACTCCCCCAATTTCGAACTATTAGTTGGCTGGGAACAGGTTGCTTTGGCGCTGGACCAAAAATGCCCAAATTCCGGTGGTGATTCAATCAATAGAGGGGAAACACGTGAACTTTGAACTGACCTAGCCCACAAAAGACCGGAGAGAAAACGGTGGAAGTGCAGAGAGAAATCGAGAAAAGGGAAACGAATCGAATCGAATTGAAAACGGTGCACGAAAAGTGCAACAAGAAGCATGCAACAAGGGAAAGGTAAACACACGGGCGAAAAGATTCAAAGAAACAGCTGTGTTCAAAATAATAGTGACGAATATAATAATAATAATATAATTTGATAAAATATGTATTATATATAATCTTATTTTGGTTTTAAAGTTTGTTAAAAAAATTAAATTTCACAGAACTACTTTTATCTTGAATCTATCTATGCTTCTCACATACATTTGGGCCATTTTTGGTGTGGCACTCACAAGGCAATTGGAAGGGGGCGGGGCAATCAAAGTAAAAAATTCACTACTATATGTCTATATACATATATATTGATTTACGCAACGATATACGTCGCTTTTTGTGTGAAAGATACAATGCTGCTGAAATATTGAAATCAATTGCAGGTTTCTTTTTCGGGTTTTTTAAGCGTTTTACTGGCTTTTTTCTTCATTTTTTGATTAATTGGCAATGGCCAATGCAAATTCTGTTGGCCTTTTGGCTGGGGCACAGATACAGTAACAGATATATATATATATACATTCACAGATACAGATACAGATACAGTTGCATTGTCAACGTTCCAAAACAGCCCCACAGCGTATGGCATACAATTTAAAAATGTATCCAAGAGATACATTACACATTACGGCCATGGCTTGCCAAGTCTTGACTTGGAAATTCCCTTCACTGCATTCTTTCCCACACCAAAGCCAGACAAAAGAGCAGAGATACATATATACATATAGATATATGTATGGTGAGGTGGCTATATAGATACTTTTCGGGCCTTTGGTCTTTGCTAGTTTTGGTTAGTTGACTGCAGGGCTTACAAGATACCACTCCACTACCACCGACTCCGTATCTCTATCTGGTTCTCAGACTGAGACTGAGTCGTCGCCGTAGTCATTCGCATTGTCGTAAATTTTATTAGAGTGTAGTGTAGCATCGTCATCATCATCATCATCGCGTTCATGATGATGCGACCTAACACAATTCTTACTTAGTTTGCATTTTAGCTTATGTCTTTTGTGTTTTACTCACTACAAAACCAACAAACGACAAAAAAAATCACAAAAATAAAAGAAGTTAAAAAAACACCGTAAATACATAGCAACCATAAAACGTTTCGCATTTCAAAGGCCACACATTATTATTATTTTCAGCTATTACTTTGGGTTATTTCAAAGAAGTTTTCAATTTATTTTTTTTGTCTGTGGACAACTGATACGACTCTGACTTGGCGCTCTGAGTTATTGCCTTAACATAAATGCTTGTGCCCGAAGTCTCCAATTACTTTTCATTTTTGGCATTTGCTTTGTCAAAGTTCAAAATGTTATCACCCAAAGAACGAGAATCTCGAATATTGGCTTTTGTCTTGGGTCTCCTTCGGGTTATCAATAAGCAATTATGTTGCGGCTGAGATTTTTTCGAAATTGGAAGTGGGAATGGGAGCACAGATTTCAAAGGTTGATTTTGGCTTAGATTTTTGTTTTTAGCTTTACTTTTTGTTATAGATTGTTTTCATTTAAGTAGTAGTATTTAAATTTAGTTTATAAATTTGTATAATAATTTCTTAGAATCAGTCATTTGAATAGTATAAAAATGTATAAAATTCAACAAATTTAAAACAATTTTCAGCAATTCCAGCTGTGGACAAATTTTTGCTTTCCTAGAAAATTAGATTACTCGCTTGTCAGTTTCTAGGCTAAGTCCCAAATTTGATTAATTAATCGCCAGAAATGCAAATTCCGCAGCAAAACTGGGTGAATTGTGATGTAAAATAAATATAAAGAACAATTGTTGGAAAAGTTATCAAATTTTGGGCAACCTAATGGCATTAATTGCATAGCGAAAACTAGTTCAGAAAAACAATTTGAAAAGTGCTGAAACTGGGAAAAATATGCAAAACCGGGAAATCACACAAATTTTTGCCAACTCAAATGGCTTTTGAGATATGTTTTTTAAGAGAGGCTCTCTTATTTGCTCTTCGATTTTTTGTACACTCTTTTATTTTTCAACATAACACACAAAAAATGCATTGAGAGGAATGCCGGTTTTGTTTGAGAATGTGTGCGTGGGCTAGTCCTATCTGTGTGGTTACTACGTTGCGGTGACGGTCGTTCGTTCGCTTTTGTATCTCTCAGATAAATCGCTCTTACCCGCCGCCTGTGTGTAGTAAATATTCCGCTCAGCTGTGCTGCGGGTCTATGTGTTGTTGTTGTTGTTTTCCCCCCGATTTTTTCTTTTTTCTTACTCGCCCAACAACAACAACTACAACAAATGACATATGCGGGGCCCCTGAGCGAAAAAGTATCTTCCAGTACCGCCTTCCAGTTTCAAGATACTTTTCGGGTTCCAATGAGAACGGACTTCGGGCTTCGAGCGAGTCGTGCGCCGATTCGTATCGGCGGCTGCTGGCAGTCCGATATTAACTCTCAAACTGTACGGTTTGGTAGCGCAGCTGAAAAGCGGAAAACTGAAAAGGAAAAGCGGAGAAGAGGGGATCGAAGAAGGGCAGCGCGTCGTGTGTTTTCATCCTCCTTCTGCAATAAACAATTGTTGTTCTACAAGTTTAAACAATTAAAAGTGAGTGTGATCAAAGTGCTGAAAAAAAAAAAAATAATATAAATCGAATTCAATATGTATCGTTTAAAAAATATTTTTTGAATTAAACTGCTGTATCTAAAACATTACAATAAAACATTTAAAAGACAACAAACTAGCAACCCAAAAAACTAAAGCCAACATAATAATAAAAAATAAATAAAAACAAAAAAACATAAAATTTATATACTAAACTAGAAATATTTATAATTTTATTGTTATATCTTATGACATCCTGTTCTTTTGTGCAAAAAATAAAGAACCTAAATAATAATCAAAAAAACAACAGTAATCATAAATAATAATAACAATTTCGTGTGACGTTTTAGTTAATTCTCAAAAAAAAAAAAACGAATGGAAAATAAACAACAAACAAAAAGCAACCACTGCTTTCAATTGTAATTTCCGGTGTAGCGGAATTTCACTGTGCATTGTGTGGGATGGTGTGTGTGTATGTGAGCGAGAGTGGGAGAGAGAATCAAGAAGGAAAAGAAAGAAAATCAGAAAAAACATAAACAGCCCAGAACAACGTGCTCTTGTGTGTGTGTGTGTGAATAAGAAAATTGGGCCCTATACAAAAACAAAAAAAAAAAAAAGAAAACTGTCCTGAGAAAAGTGCAAAAATGGCCTTTGGTTTATTGAATTTATAGCCGACTTTTGTCTCCTTTTTGGCCCACATTGAGGTTACATAAAGATCCGCAAAAACTAAACACACACACATTCTGGCCCCTCGTTTTGGGGTCATCATAAAAATGTCTTAAATATAATAATCTAAACAACATTGTTTGGAAATGTTTGTACATTGTTTATTTGTAGTTATTTTTTCGCTTGCAAATTTAAAAATAGTATTTATGGGTCGTTTTAAATGCTAAAATGTGTACTTAGATCTTTAGCAACCTAACTAGTGCTTGGCAATGAATATGTATTATAGTCTCTAGCAAGTTGCATTACTTAACTTTTACTTGGAATTTTAGCTTAGCTAAGCAAATAGCACAGGGCAATTCTCAGAAAAGTTTGAAAAGCTCAATAATTTTCTTTTTGATTTTTTTCCGAGGAATCACATTTGCTCTCTTAGTTTCACAGAACATTTAAATGGCAAACTCAGCTGGTTGCCTATTTCCAACTTAGATTACCTGTTAAGCTGCTCAGTAACAGCCGATAATCTCTAAGAAACTTCAACTTTAATTGACTTATCAAAGTTTGCCTAAACGAATTATGACCTAAAACTGACCTAACCTAAGCCCAATTGACTGCAGGCAATATTTATTTGGGTCTTCAGAGCTTTAACTACATATATTAGGTTGCAGTTAAACTTTAACTAAGCTGCTCATCAGTTTTGAAAAGAAAACTTTCTTCAAGGTTGCAAAACTTATAATAAACATAAAATAATCTGCAATAAATTGCATAAAAGGTCAGCACCAGGTTCAAAGTTTTCCCACTCCTCCCCTATTAGCTAATTAACATGGAAAATTTTTGCCAGAATATATCGTTTACTTGTGGCGAACTTTTGGATGGAACGGAGGAGGGAGCGGACGCCATAAGTTTCTAGAATTTATAGAGTCGAAAGCTTTCTATCGATAGATAAATATGGCGAGCAAGAAACAGATACAAGTATTTGTAGATACAAAGAAAAAGCCACAAACAAACAGAGCTCTCCCGAATGGGTATAATAAACAATTAAAAATTATCTGCCTCTGCTATAGAATTATAAGCAAGCGGCTACCGTGTAACCTCAATTTGGGTCTGGAATAGCAAAACATACGAGTATATAGCTAATGCATCATTCTACTTTTCAGTCTGTGGGCTCAAGTGCAATACACAAAATCGAACACTAAGCATTCCAATTAAACTAACAATCAAAGTGCAATACAAATAAATCCAGCTAAAAATCAACGAGAATACATTTACAGAAGCTGTGTTCATAAATAGATTTGCCCAAACAATGCAAAGCAAACCAATTAAAACAAATCGAATTAACTCTTTTGCCAGCAAACCCATTAAATAAACTTAACAACTACGAATAAACTTAATAAGCATTTAAAGTAACAATAACAATTTTGTGCAATTTAAATAATAATAATAATAATCGTATACAAAAATTAAAGGCCTTAAAAAGGTTCAACGATTTTTGCTAAATACTTTTGCGCTAAATCAAAAACAAAACTAAATATAATACTTTATAAACTCCAATTAGCTAAATTGTTATAAAATCAAATTTATAAAACTAACAGTAAAAAAATAAATTTTTAAAAGCGATAAGGATTTTTTAAAATTTATAAAACTAAATCTACTTTAAATGCATTTTGCTGAGACGGATTACGTTAAAAACTAGCTGCAGATTTTTCGCCATCGTAAGTATGAGTATAGAAAGAAAAAGCCTTAAAAAACTTTATAAATCCAAAAACGTTATATCTTTGCTGTTCGTAAGGTGTTTATTTGTTTTTTCCATAACATTTTATGTCATTTCATTTTAAAGAAAATCTGTCATTTCATTGCTGGCCTAGTATTGGTCTAGGACCATTAATAACAATTATTGGATTTATTTAATTGAAATTCAATCAAGCAAAAGCTGACTCATTTGTCAATTGTCGCATTTTTATCTTTATTAAAAAGAAAATGGTTGCCAGGCGGCTCAGCTGGTTTATTTTTTAAGTGGGTCAACAAATTTTCACATATTTGCCTGAAAGATTAAACTTTTTATTAGGAGAAAATATAGATATATGTATATCCATTTTTTTTTAGTAAACCCCCTGTTATCTGAGTGCTTTTCACATAAGAGGCTTACTAGACAAACAAAATCCCCATAAAATAAATTTAACTCAATTGCCCAAACATTCCCCAATGGCTGAGCGTTGATTGTAGATTGTTGATGATGTCGTTATTATTGTTGCTGAGGCTTACGTGTAAACTTTTATCTGCACTTAGATTTTTGACATACAAATTTATTGTTTATGCCGCGTTCTAACAACTATAAAAAAAATAAAACACAACATGCAATTTTGTAATTATTAATTTTACGGTCTGTTTGAGTTCACCTACAATGTATATGTGTGATTTTGAAGAGTTTGCTTTGGGCGAAATGCTGTAGAAGCGTTCCCTGCACAAGTGCAATGCCTAACTGTTGATCATTTCCGCTCAATTTTGGCCAAAAAAACTGTCCAACTGTGTCGGAGGTCGGTGAACTTTTTTAGCCGCCTCAAGTGCGTGTTTGTTTAGGCCCAAAAATCCCACCGTCGCTTTATTGCGGTTATTGACTCTCATCTCATTCCGCTTCTCTCTTCGTTCATCTCTTTTATCTGTTTGGCCCACACACACTGAGACACACACACTCACTTGTCCATCAGCGTTCTGGGCCTAATTTCCTTTTCGGTTTTTGGGTGTGTTCGCCTCATCAAAAAATACAACAAAAATTATTTTTGAGAAAAGAAAGAACAGAAATTAACATAATCAAATTTACTTTTTTACCTCGCGAACACGTTTCGTGGCCGAAATAAGAAAAAGTGAAGACCATTATTTAATTTTCGTGTCAGTCGGCGCAGTGCTCCATCGGATGGCATTGAAGTATTGACAAGCTGAGCTTTATTTACACCTGCCAATTGCTATGACTAGATGAGCACAATAGTGGTCTATAAACAGATTATGCCACGAGTGCTTATTTAAAAGGGTTTGATTTAAAGTTTGCTTCATTGGATTGAGAAGGGTTTTGGGATAGGTTTTTTCAGAAACTAGATCAACTTAAATTTACCTACACTAATGGATTTTCCAATATCACATTGACTTAAAGTTTTATTATGATTATTCTTTGTTGTAAAGTTAAAAGATAAAAAAACTTCCTTTCAATAACAAACAAATGAATTGGTTGCCTTTCATTTAAATGACAATATCCCTGAAAAAATATTCTCATGGGCATTTATTTTCTGATACACAATGTCCTTATGGTCTAGGCCTTTAATTACAAATTTGATTTTTTTAGAAACCCTCACATTTGAATCAAAATTTAAAGTAACCGTTACAAAATGAGAAAAAAAAACATAAATTGCGACTGGACAGCAGAATTTCCACTGAAATCTAATATAGCTCCGATCTACAGAAAACAACCTTTAAGATCTGTGTGTCTTTATCCGGGGCATCGTACTTGGAGGGTGAGAAACCAATTGGAAATCCAGCAACTGGCAAAACGGATTGGTTGCCATCCCGAAGACATAGATGGGTTTCTTTTCAAACTCAGCCTTTGGAACTACAATCGCCTATTGAATCCCAAAGACTGCAGTTGGAATTCCTGCAATGTGCCACTTTGTTATCCATATGCCTGTAATTGGTACATGGACATATTCGATCATCGTGGCAACTTGAGGGACACCAATGATCCGAAAACTATTCGAAGTTTACTTCCTTTAGTGCTGAACTTCTTGGATGGCCTTTCGCCTGTTGCCTGCACGGCCCATATTGACGGTCAGCAGGCGAAACGTCATTCAAATTTTTCAGCATTTAGTTTGGAGTCTTCGGATTGGTCATTTGGCAATCAAAGTGTTCCAATTTTGGAAAAAGACCTAATCACACATTATAAACCAGTCTTATCGGAGTCAAAATTAGATGCAGAATCGCAGAAGAAGCTGTCTGGAAGAAAGAGAAAGAAAAATTTGGGGCGCCAGACCATTTTCCTCAACGATGAACTAGCTTATACATTTGCCATGCCAGATGATATTGTGGAATATATAATGCAACATATTGGTCGACATCACCACACTAAAGGTAGCTATATTGGTCCTATAGCAGATTTACGAACAGTACGTCTTCGCAAGCTAATCAAGAGCTTGGTTGAAAGGAAAGGAGCACATATAACTGAAAGGGATCTAAATAAGGCCATAAAAATGGTAGATCTTGAGGGGAAGCACGGAAAGCAAAACGCCAAAGATATCTCGAAACTCTACAATTCCATTGTGCAGAGGTCCGAGCTTCCTTATGGGCATGTTTTTGGAAAATTCAGGGGAAATTATCCAAAAGTACCAAGAGGTTCGAAACTCCCAAGAAGATATTTGGGCGATCAAGTCCCTATACTTTTCCATGAGCCGTATGATCCGAAAAAGCGTTGGACATGGCAACGCCGACATCCGAAACAAACCCGCCTAAATACTAGCTACAGGTTCTCATCAACCAGGATTAAACGCTATTTACGTGCTTCTTTGAAGGACCAAAAGGACGAACAGGCTAAGCGGTTTTCAATTCACTCAACAATTAGTGAAAAGGGTAAAAATGTCACAAAAGAATCGCTGGATTCCTTGTTTGGCTCTCCTAAATACCAGTCAAAAGTAAAACTAAATACCGGAAATATATTTTAAACTCAATAAATCCTTTTTTTAAATATCCTAGCAAGCTTAAAGTATGATTTATTTGGTTTATATAATGTCATTCTAAATTCTTTCTCCAGCCAAGCAGCTTCAAAATTATTTTGGAATTTTTAAACATCCTATTTTTGGAACCCAAAGACGGTCAGGCCAAGATGAATTCCTGTTGCTGCAGATCGCATAGCGATCGCACGGATCCCATGGCCTGTCTTCCACAGTTTCCTCGTCTCCAGCGTGTCCAAAGTTGTAGGCCATATTTAGAAGGACGCAAGGCCAGCTGTTGTATGTCCAGCGAGAGACGATGGGGTCAGAGGAATGGAGGCATGATCCAATTGTTGGCCAAGATGGTGAACAAATCCAGCAATACGGTCTGTCAGTTTCTCCATCAGCTGACCCTCCAGCTTTTCGCAAGAATCTTGTACCCTTTGATGTTAGGTTGGAATACGCTCAAGATACCATTTGTCCTTCCCGATACCTGTGAGCTTTACTATGGGATCTTTGATGAATGTGGTGACCTGAGGAAGTCCATTCGCACTAGGACATTGCTCATTCTCGTATCGATGATGCAATACTTTTTGAACCTTCCCAAGGGATGTATGAGAAATAGTAAATGCCCAGGTTGCAGGAATAATGATGATAGTCTGAAGAATATTCACAATCCTGGTTATTGTGGCAAAAATGCTATGACTCCTTTCTCGGGATCTGCTTCGACGAGTAGAGTACCATCGCTTGGCAGTGAAGTGCGGGCAGGACTCAGACGATTGGGATACGAAAGCTATGGCAGTATAGAGAGTTATCCTTCGGATGAATCTATACCATATGGTTATGCCCCCTATCGATGTCCTTGTCAGGCTGGCTTACCTAAGCCTAAGAGGATTTTGACTAATCCTTATGCTAATATGGGATCATTGGCTATAGAGAGGGCCTGTTCGAATGAGCTAGGTAGTCCCATGCTAGCTGCTGATTGCATTCAGAGGCCTCCAGTGGCACCCAGTTCACGTCAAGCAGCCCGACTCATGCACATCACTCAACTCTCTGATCTATATGCTGCAGTTGTACAAAACCAACATTCTAGACAATTACTAGCAGAAGGACAGCGTCCCAAGCAAAGAATAATACCCTGTACTGAAAACAGGGGCAGATTCTCAGGTGGCTTCATGGTTCCAGAGCCCTATTTCAATGGCATGCCTTGGAGTTGGCTGCACAGGAATCCACAGCGAATGGTTCGTCTACCAAGTGGCGGTCTACCAATGGAAATACCACGTTATAGACGCCAGCCGTTGGATGAAATGTATGATAGTTTTAGAAGCAAATATGAGGATATGAGCAGGCAGGTTAACCCCTTCAAGGAAAATAGTCTCTTGCGTATTCAAAACTATGGATCTGAGAACAGATTCCAATCCATTAGCTGGGCGAACAAAATCTTTAATCTTCAAAAACTTCCGATTAAAAATATGTCGAACAATTTCAGACAAATTCCGATTGAAGATAAATGGAAAATGAGGTGGGATGAGGTCTTATTAAAGAAGGTAAATCAAGCTAGGCAAACAAATAGTGCATATAACTATTGGAAGGATATGATGGAGAGAAATCAATTAAGAACAACATTCGATCATGATAGAAACGATATTCTAAGTATACGCAATCCAATATTTCAACCTAAAGATAGAACTTATTCTGAAAGTCTACGTATGATAAGGCAGAAAAGTAGTAACTCTCTAAGATCAGCAAGTCAAGATCAGAAGAAAACAATACGGAATCAAAATAAAACAAAAGCAAAAACTAGGGAAAGTATTTTTCCTCAAATCAAAAGAAAACCAATTTTCGCAGTACAAAGAGATCAACACCGAAACGTTTTAAATAGACGGATAGACATCAGAGGACACCAATAACAAATCTGTAGATGATGCCCTGCGATTAGCAAGGAGAGAAGAGTATAGCGACCGAAAATATCCTAAACCCGAGGCGTATAGAAGAGAAAGGGCTAAAGAACTCTCTAGAAATCGCTGGGCTACTAGAAAAACTGCCGGAGAGTCTTTAATGCTCGTTAAATCCGCAGAAAACATACGAGAGAAGTCTGGAAAGTCGTTTATACAAGAAGATAAGTCTTGCAATAAGCCTTTGAACAAAAAGGTACGATTTCGTGTTCAGAATCCTGACCGCTTGGAAAGAAGAACCCCAATAGATTTAAATGAGAAAATCACTCCCAGAAGTACATCACCTAGGAGGTATTTTCAACCTGCAGGAGGGTATCAACTCCCAAAACAGTTTGGCAAGGAAATAAGACAGAAATCTTTAAAGATTTTCAAAGGAAGTGATGATAGGAAAATGCTATTTAAGCCAAGGAAGGTGAAGTCACCGGAACTAACCAATGATTCTAAAGAACAATCTAGCTGTAGCAAAAGGTTGAAGATGAAATCTCCAGAGCGGATAGCAAGCCATAAGCAACAAAAAGTCGGACTTAGTGCTCAAAAAACATTTGGAAAATCCATAACCAAAAGATGGGAAAGTTCAGCTGTGGATCCACCTAATAACAGTAGCAAGCGCAGAAAAGGCAATTAGGCTGTATGTGCATGTGTATAATATGTGCATTTCATCTATATAGTGGATTGATGTTATTTCCAATATTCAGTATGAGCTGCATGGTGAAATTTTATTATTTTCTAACTAACCATACAATTGTAAATAAATCACGGGCCTGACCGCCTATTAAATTTAGGTTTGAAGTGTTGACCTCACCAAACACTTCCAATTCGAGAGAAATTTGGCGTCCACCTGCGCTGATTGAAAGCCGCAACATTGCAGCATAGTTGCGGTAAGTTTGTTGCGCTTTTCCGCATTTCATGGAAATGAAAATGATGATGTGGCCGCTGCTGCGGGACGCCACTTAAAAGCTTTTTCCTTTAAACCCTTCTACTGGCAATAGTTCACATTATTCCCTCGGTATAGAGTTAGCTTCAATTTTCCCCTTTTCAGTCAGTTTATTTGAATATTTTCGTGTGTTTGAGGTTTGGATTTCGGCTCATTTTGACGCGTTTACTGTTCTTTGGGGACCCATAACGCGTTCCTCCCCCAACAACTTAGGTTTATATATATGTGTGTGTATGTGTAACGTAGAGCTGGAGGCCATAAGCCAAAGGGCAAACGTTTTGTGGCCAAAACGCAATTTCCCCGCTAAAGCCGAGAAGCGTATTGGTAACAAGTGCCTCTCACTTTGTTGGCCCCTGGGTGGGCCTATCAACTTGGTCGGTTGAGTGGTCTGGCTTGAAGAAGAAACAGATTAGATATTCATACGAAAAATAAGTAACGGGGCACCCCAAGTTTTCTGTATAAATTTTGAATAAATTGTGGAAAATTAGCAGCAGGAAAATGGTTTACAGAGAGAGTACCTCAGTTTAATAGGGAAAATTGGTATGCCTTTTTTTTGACAAATGAATATTAATATTTTGTAGAGCTTAGAGATACTTGAGTTTGATAGTGTTGTATATAAAGTTATGGAATATATATCTAACCTATCATCATGCAAACACTTATGATTTGGATTTATGTTGAGCAAGTAAATCAAACCAGCCCAGGCTCCAAATTTCACAATCTTGGCATATTCAGAACCCGAGTTACTTGAGGTTACACCACACTTACATAGTCTCTCCCACCAGCATCCTTATGCTCTGTCCACTTTTCCAGCACTCCCTGCCCCCTCTCACTCAATGAGACACCCCTCCTGTCCTCGCACTGTCGCCATAGTGCTTATCAGTCTGATGTGACTGTGATGATAATAATTCAGAGTCAAATATCTCGCGACGTCTAGTGGCCAAGTCATGATTTATGGCATTCCATTCGAGACTTAAACAATACGATAATTATTTATTAGAGTGGAGACCCTTCTGCAATCCCACTAGTACTTTGTGAGCACTGCAAACATACAAATATGTGTATATAAATAATAAGTTTTTGTTTGGCTGCAATGACTTTGCCCAGTTACAAAATCCCCCGTCATGCCCCTCATGCGGCAATTTATAATGTTGAGTGCCAAGCAGTTAGGAAGGATCCCCTTTTATATATATATCTGTATCCTATGTAAGTTTATACATATTTCTCTATAAACGCTAGAGAGATGGTATATATATATATACAAACATATATCGGGGCGTACGGAGTGTAGACAGACAAGAGTCGCCCTGACAAAACCAGTTGGAAATGGCCTGGCAAACGGAATTTATTGCAATGGAGTGCTGAAAACTAAATCATCATCTTCCAACCAGTCCAATCCAGTCCGAGGGTTATCCAGATGGGGGGCCAGAACAATTGATACACTCTCCACCAGCTCATTTAATATTTATGCGCATTTAGCCGGGCACTTTTTCCATGCGAAATCGCAATAGTTGTTGGGCAATAGTTTCTGTTGGCCCATGCGTAAATATGCGCAAAATAAATACATTTTTTATCTTCGCTTTATTATTTTTGGCTCTGCTGGTAGGCATAAATTATGCACATACAAGGGAAATATTTAACGCCTTTCAAGCCGAGCAAGAAAAAAAGGAGAGAAAATTTGGACCCAAAATGTAACATATATAAATATATATATATTAGAGGAAAACCCAGCAGAAACCTCGAGCAGGCATCTATAAAATAAAAGTAAATTGGTTGTCCGGCTTTGGTTTCCCCAACATCCGAATCCCCAACATTTTGTTTTCCCACTTTTTTCTTCTTTTTTTCTTTTTTTTCCTCCTATATATGTATATTTTTTTTTCTGTGCGTTTTTCCTTTTTGCTCGTGTCGAGTCGTTCAAGCTGTGGCATAATTTTTACGCATTTGCTTGGACCCCCCAGCAAAAGTGTTGATAAAAAAAAATATATATGAAATAAAATAACAGGGGCGATAGAGCAGGGTGGGCGTGGCGGCACACGCACAGACTTCCTGCTTCAACTACTACTACTACTACTACAAAAAATAAATAATAAGGAAAAATGCTGGAGCCGTTGAAAAAGTTAAACAATTCATGGTCGAAGCTTTATGCTTTATACGCAAAACTTTGCTCTTTGATTTCGGATGTCAAAGCATCTCCACTCTTTTGGGTCGTCTTTGTGTGCGGAAGAGCGCTTATCTATGCCGGCTGCCAAGACGCACATCACCCAACTACAATGATTTTGCATGCCCTTGTGGATCAAAGAGGTCCATTGAAAAAGTTGGTTGACGTAGATTGGAGGAAGCTAAACCAAAATGGTAAACACTTTGCAAAAGTTAATGACAAAGTTTTAATTATGATTGAAGTCTTCTGTTATATGTAAAAGATCATATCATCTTCTTTAGTAAAACTCTACTTTATTTGTTACTTATTAGTGATGGATTATTGTTATGAAAATAAATTATAACTAATAATATATAAAAAAAAATATTTTAATACATTTTTTAGACGTAAGGGAATTATCATTCGTTCTAACAAAACATTAACAGATCGCAACATTTGTGCTTGTTTTATGTTTATTTGTTTGGGGCCGCGACGTTTGCCAAAAACCAAGGCTGTCTGTCTATATATCTGTGATGTCCCTGCCGCCCCTTTTTCGCTCCCTTTTCTGGTGCCCTCTGTAGCTATCTCTTTCTGGCTTAGTACTAGCCATCTCTTTTGCCTCAGTGCAGGCTCGTTTTGTGTGAGGCCAAAATCCACTTAAATCGATAAAAACTATCAAATCTGTGCGGGGCGTGTGCCTTAGTTGTCGGTTGGTTTTTTTTTTCATTTTTGGTTTGGTTTTCTGCCTTCTCCGACGGAGTCTGAAGCCGGAGCTTCGTCACTCATACGCCATGTGCGCCGTCTCCAGCGTCGTCGCCACTCATTTTTCGCCCATGTTGCGTATGTTGTCAAGTCTCTTCCGTTTGCTGCCGCTCACTGAAATGGTGTTTGTTTCTCTCCGTGTATGTGTGTTAGCCTTTTTTCTTGGCATCGGCCATCGAAATTGTGCTCAGCATTATTGTTGTTGCTGCCTCTGGCATGTCCGTTTTGGCATGGACTTGGCCCAAACTCATTGTTTGGGGGAATCTCATACCCGTTTTGTTCGATTTTCCTCTTCATTTTTTTTGTTTGTTTCGGGGTGGTTCGGTTAGGCAGCAGCAGCATTTCCGTTCTTTTCCGCTGTTGTCAAGCAGCTAACACACACCAGCTCACACATGTGTGAGTTTATAGGCGCCGGCATTTGAGCAAATTTGCCCCTCTAACAGAGACCCAGCCCAAAAGCCCAAATGAGATATGTGTGTGCCCTCCTCAAAACTATAATGCTAAATGACAAAATATGACAAATTATAATAAAAAAAGAGAGCATGTCGAAAAATGAATATATATATAAATATATTCCTGAACGAATTTTATGACATTTGTCATGGAAATCTTTCCATTCGGCTGATTCGTCTTTTGTCTGGCCAATTTTGCGGTCGCCTCACATGACAGTTAAGTTGGGCCTCCTCCACTTGTACTTCCCAAAAAGCCTGTATTAATACAAAAATCACGCACTCGTAAATGCTCCTTTTATAGGCATTGCGTGCCGAGATTTTACAATGGCTGTGGAAATGAAGGAAAGCTCGAAAAAAGATTAACAATAATCGGAGCTAATCATAGTGTAATTATGTGTCACTCTAAGTGGACAACTTGTTGTGATGAGTTGTAGAACTCAAAAGATACTTTAGTACTTCTGTATTAAGTTATTTATTTTAAATGGAAAAACCGTATACTTTTCTAGCTCTTTTTACGTTGAAATACATTTTAATAGGTTTACTACAGAATTACTTTTTAAAGTTTTTATGAAACAACATTTTTTTAGAATTCCATTTTGTAAGCTTTAGAGTTTTTTGTGTTGACATACATTTTTCAATTATTTTCTGCTTTCAAAGTTTCTATCAACTTTTTACCATGTCAACTGCAGTCAAAAATAACTCAATATACATGATTCTACATAAACCAATTCCTGCTTCCAAGAGTTACATTTTACCACCATACAAAAACTTATTCATATTAGTGTAAA